TTTTATTTAGAGACAGGGTCTCCCTGAGTTGCTTAGGGCCTCACTAAGTGACTGAGGCTGGCTTTGAACTCCCGATCCTCCTGCCTCAGCCTCCTGACTTTCCAGCTTTCCCTCAAGGTACATGTGATAGACCCAAACTAGACAGAACCATGAGGGCAGGACCCTAGCATGATCTGCAGCCCTGGATGCACATCAGAATCAACAGGGGAGATTCTAAAACAAAATATGGATGCCACAACACCACACATTGTGATTCTATAGTTCAGGGCTACGCTTGCCTTTCTAAAATACCAAGTTACTAGTTCCCAGTGCTTCTGCCATTAGGCCATATTCATAATACACCATCGACTGACCATGTGATACCAACACCTCTATGTCAGGAACTGGCACACATGCTACCTCTTTTAATCTACATCCCACACAGGCAAGGCCTGCATTATTATTCATGTTCTTCCTGATGGTGAACTGAGCTCAGAGAAGTKAAGTGACCTGCCTAAAGTCACACTGCAAGAAAAGGAAGAGACCATGCTTCAAACTTACATTCGCTGGCCCCAGAATCTTGTGGTCTTTCCTCTAGACAACAATAAAATCATAATTGGCATAACATAAGAGCCAACAGGGGCATCCTGAGAGTTTCTCTAGGGTAAAAGATCCATTTTTTGAATAAAGAAAGGAATGTCAGGGGGTGAAGAGTAACCTGCTTAAGTGACCTGCCAAATTCCTTGAGCAGATTAAGGCAGAGTGGGACTTACGGAGGGCTCCCGACACCCCAGTTTAGATGAGTTTTTGAGATGAACTTTCTCCAAAAGGCAAAGCATATTTTCTCCATTTTCACAAAGTATTCTCCCCAAGTCTTCTCTTTATTAAAAATATACAGTTTTTAGTTGTAGATGGACACAATACCTTCATTTTACTCACTTTTATGTGGTGCCAAGGATTGAACCCAGTGCCTCACACCTGCTAGGCAAGTGCCCTACCACTGAGCTCCAACCACAGCCCCCCAAATCCTCTAGAAGTATTCTCACTCAACCCCAAACTGCTCCCCAAGGAGAGTCACGGCTACTAACAGGTCTAGCTGAATCTGCCCCGAATTTAAATCAGGGGGGAAAGGTACCTAGGCTGACTACCTGGAATAGAACCTCTTAGAAAACAGAGAAGAACATTTATGGGATAGGTCTCATGTCTTTTGTAAATTAAGTTTAAAAAGCACTATTAAGTGATTATATTCTAGCATGATTTTCCAACACCTCCAAGAAGCCCCTAGACTCCTGGCGTCAGGTCACTGGACTTCTGAATGCAAATGATATATTTAAAAAAATAGAAACAAACCAGGCATGGCTCGGGATATAGCTCAGTTGGTAAAGTGCTTGCCTTGTGTGCACAGGGCCCTGGGTTCAATCCCCAGCGCGCGCGCGCACGCACACACACACACACACACAAAGCCAGGTACAGGGGTGCATGCTTGTAATTCCAGCAGCTCGAGAGGCTGAGGCAGGAGGATCGCGAGTTCAAAGCCAGCCTCAGCAACTTAGTGAGGCCCTAAGCAACTCTGAATAAAATATAAAAAAGGGCTGGGGATGTGGCTCAGTAGTTAAGCACCCCTTTAATCTCTGGGAAAGAAAGAAAGA